GCCCAAACAGTGTTTTTTTTTTTTTGTGCGCGAGGGTTTGCCAGACTTGTTAAGACCTACCATTCCTTACACAGCAAGTTTGCAGCAGGCCCAAAGGTTGCAGCGCGCAGCTCGGGGCAAGCTGGAAGACATTGTGCGGCACTTAGACCAAGTCCGTGGCACGGTTGGCAAAAGATTCGTTCTGGGCCGGGTGCCAAGCCGTGTCGCAAAGATGCTGACACTGAGGATGTCCCTCCAGGCGTATAATGTGGGGGTTTTTGCAGTCAACCTTCAGCGCTGGAAAGACCAGCAGCGGCCTCAATGAGTTCCCGAAGCTTTGCACATGGTGAAGGTGGCAAGCAAAGGAGGTCTATAGCTAGGAGGTCTGTAGCCGCAGGCGCAAGCAATGGTATCGGATGCACCTTGCAGTGCCTCGCCTCGCTTGTGTGAGATGAACATGAATCTGGTGACAGCGGCATCTCACCACTCTGCAGCACCCACGCCCCCAACTCTGCATTGCAAAATATTGCAAAGAATCGCCAAGATATGTCGCCAAAAGCGGTATTGTTTCTTACAAGTTTATTACATTTCCGGTTCTGCCACTGCTGCCGCTGAAAGTAGTGCTAGCCAAGAAGCTGAGGCCTTGTAGTGCGTTGGAATTCTGGGAGCTTCAAAATGCTGAGACGCCTCAATCATTTGTTGGGTTCCGGAACCTGAAAAGATTCGGCCTTGCAGAGAGGCTTCGCAATTTCTGGGGTTCTTGTGCAAAAGTGCTTCTGGGAGGCTCCAAGTGACCGAATCTTTCCGACTCGGGAGCGTAGCCGCACATTCAAAAAGATTGTGGTCTCTCATGGTTCTGGGGGAGTTCCTAAACGCTGAGAGCCCGATTTTGGGACCACCCTTCAAGACCGCTCTGAGTTGTTGGGGGCCTCTGAGCGTTTTCGCACAAAAACCCAAAAGATTGAGCAGGATACTTCCCTTCCGTATGCTGTAAATATGTTGAAGATGAAGTGTTCCATGTATTGAAAACCTGGGTCTTGCCTGCATACATACACATATAATGCACACGTTGCATTTGCAGCACTTTTGCAGCTCATGGACTATGCTTTGTGAAAGTGATGAGGCGACCAACACCTTCCAACAGCACAGAGAGTACCAAGTAGCAGTAGCAGTAGCACAAGCATGCAGCAGCAGCGGCGGAAGCAGCCATCGTCGTCGTAATATGGAAGTAGTAGAAGAAATAGAAGCAGAAGTAGGAGTAGAAGTACTATAGCTGTCGTAGGTAGGCTTCGGTCTGTTCGTCAGTGATCATGTTTGCGCCTTGAGCCTTGAGGTCCTCATAGATCCAGGCTTCATTCGCTAGGTTATGTTGGAGATTGCAGAGGCTATAATATTAGCCCAGACAGTGGCTTCATGCATCGCAGCTTGGGAAGCGCAGTCGGCATGGTACAGAAGAGATGGCTTCGCACGCACTTGCAAATGCTGAAGAATTTGTTCGCTCGCAGATTTTGCCGTCAGAGCCAAATTTCTCGAGGCCAACATTCCCAAATTCAGAAGCTGACCTGACCCTGAAATTGTGACCTTCTTTTCAGAAATTGGCCGGAGTGAAATTCTCGACTGCTCCTAGCAAGCAAGCCCACAGTTCTGCACGAGTTTACTTTGCCTGCGATGTCTTGCTTCCGAATCAACCAGCCTTCTGAGTAGCATTGTTCCAAGCAGCTCGATTTCCGAATCACACTTCCACGTCAGCTTCGGTTTGCGGACCGCTTTTTTCGAGTGATTGCGAGCCTTGCGGGTGTTCTGAGGACAGGGCGGGCATGTGAGAGTTCGGACTGAATTGGCTGTGTTCTTGCAGTTGCAAGAAGAAGGACGACCAAATGTGACAAGAAATGGGTAAGAACTGTCGCAAAATAAATGACAAGGGCTGAAAGCAAACGGAAGTGATTGTAGTTTTCATGATGAATGGAGAGAGTGTTGATCTCATTCCACGCTCGTGGCATCTTGTCTGCTTTGCGTATTGTTCTCGTTCTGTATGTTTAGGTCTTGGGTGAGTCTGCTCGCATATGAGAGGAGGTAGAAGTACAAAACTGCAATGCAAGAGGATCTCCAGCTCAGATGTTTCGGTTGATGGCCCAATCAGCGCTGTCAGGCATGTGGTGGAGAGGGTGGAGGAGCTGGTCACACAGCACAACCGCTGCGGTGGCAATCTTTGGGCTCAGTGCTGAGCAATCTGAGCTGCCCTGTGCCTCTTGCATCTCATAGAGTTGTTTGATGAAAGACAATGAAAAAATTGGATCGAGGTTGGCGGCTCCCAGCCTCCTCTTCTGCTGGCCTTCCTCAATCTCAAGCAGGCGAGGTGTGGCAAGCTGACGTTGGCCTACTTGTTCCTACCTGATTCACGAGGGAGAGGAAAAGGACTACATTGTCTTCCCGGCAGAGTGGAACTACGGAGACTTAGGCGCCAACCGTAGTCATGACCCAAAGCAGGTCATGGTCTGCGGCAGTGACGTGCTTCAACCTGCGCCCGCGCAGGTTGGCGAAAAACCATGAGTGCTGCAAAACTTCAAACGAAGAAAGTGCTGCACTGGAATGGCAACAAGAAGCCTTGGGACGAAGCTGACACCTCGGTTTCTTTCGTTTGGAGATGAAGGAGGCTTGCACAGCTAGACTCCCGAGGATGGTCTTTACAAGGAAATGTGGTTGCCGCATCGCCAGCGCTTCGACTCCTTGCTAAAGCCGTACAGTGCCAACGATGGAGGCTCCACACAAAAGCCGGCAACTAAGTCGCACATGAGTGCCTTTCCCGTGCCTGGTTGCAGATGAGGCCAGAAGCAAAAGTGAAAGTTAAGAAGAAAAGCGGGGCACTGCACTTGCCATACTTGTTTGTTTCATCTTTTGGCACATGGTGTCAGGTGGCCCAGCAATCACAACAACCCTTAGCCCCGAAGAGCAAGCTGCCAGAGAAGCTTGTCCTTCGGCCCCTGGGACATGCACCGATGCATGCATGTTGCTCTTGGGAATGACGTTGCAAGTTCTGGGGGCAGGTACGGTTGTTGGATGACTGGAGCGAGGGGGCAGGCAGCTCGGCTTCATCAGACGAGTGTTCTTAGCCTGGCCTTGCTCTGACGCTTCTTTTCATTTTGACCGGTATGCACCGGATTTTGGTGCGCGAGCAGGTGCAAGCTGCAAGATGGGCAAGTCCTACGGCTGTGTAGACACTCAGAAGGAAGGGATGCGGATGGCCCAGCTTTTCAGCCAATTTTGTGTATCATGAGGTAGCAGCTGCGAGAGACTTGTTTTGGCAGAGGTACGCCATGGCAGGTTGTGCAGGCCTGTTCAGTGTGCAAAGGCCTCATGAAATCCGAGCTGCTCAGCAGCAACTGCCACAGCGTTGGCCAAAGGTCTGGAAAGGCCACTGTTTGTGGCGTCGGACGCACCAAGTGCGAGCCTGGAGCAGTTCCAAAGAGCGCTGACTGCGGGTCACTGTCTCGGTCTCAACTTGTCTTGGGGATGTTCTGTCACCCTTCGTGCCTGAGGCTCATGGTTTTAACAAGTTATTTCACAACCAAAAAAGATTGGCAGCGTGGCAAATATGTGAAGCCCACGTTCTCTAAAGTTCAGATGCTTGGCAGACACTTTGGTTTCGCTCGTTGATGGCCCGCTGGCATCACCTCGGCGCGTTTCCAGCCAAGGAAGCTTTACCAGACTGCTGTGACGAATGGACTCACTGTTAGCGTGTTGTATGATGAGTTGCCACAAGATTTTCTTGTGACTTGTATGCAAGAGATGTCTACAGCTATTCGAATGATGATGTGGATCCTTGCCCACGACCTATGGCGTGTTTTTGCCCTGCAAGGATGTGTACACCTCCGAGCGTTTCCGTTTTGTTCAAGTGAATCTCACACAGTTTGACAAGAAGTGCGCCTGCAGGAGCTCAGCTTCAGCATTCAGCTTGCGCCAGCTATTGGCATGTCAGGTATGGCGTCAATGATGTACGCTATTTCTTCTTCGAACGGTTGGTTCAACAAAACCGAGACTGGAAGTACATCTTCATCGTCTCGTTGCAGCATGTTTGTAGACGGTTTTGCTGGTTTGCTCAGGGAGATGGGGATTGCACTGCTGGATCGCTTGATCAGCGGTGAAGGCAGTGATGCAAATCCGCTTAATGTCAGGTAGACGCGTTCGATGTGAGATCTGGAATGAGCCCGTGCCCTGCTTTGCAGCCGGGCAAAATCTATGTGGGAGGTGAGCAAGACAGGCGGATGTTTTGCATGTCCTCTCACACTCCCGGGGGTATACGCTCGAAAACAGGCTGAAGAAGCATCCCTGGATGAAAGCTCGCTTCCAGAAGATGGGTGGGAAGTACAACCAATGGTACACCACAAAGGTTACTGACAGACCGGGCCTCAGCTGCTCCTACATTTGTCGTACTACACGGCTGAATTCTGCTGAAGCACGACATTCTGATTCCAAGAACTGAAGATCCTCAACTGTGGCATCACTGGTGGCCAGCGGGACGTGATGCTGAAGCTTCTATCCCGCATGGTGCAGGTGCTTCAGGACCCAGCTCTTGCTATACGGCAGAAGAATGAGGACATCAACTTGAGCCATGGCCCGGAGTCGCAAGTGTTTGGATGGAGCTGCGCTCCGCACATCTTGAAAGACTTCAAAAGAAAGCTGAGGAACATGGCAGCCCTGAATTACATTTTGTATGTCGAGTTCGATGGAAAGTTCCAATACGGACCGCCTGTGCATTCGGCATACAAACGGTCCTTGCCTGTGATTGCTGTTCCTTTGCGATGCGCACGCGATTGGCGGTTGCTGGCTTCTGCTCTTAGGTTTGAGAACAAGCGGAAAGACGTTTGGTGGGTGCACAAATGAGAGTGAAGGCGACTGGTTCGCCTCTTTCCCCAAGATTTCGCTGTATTTGATTGCGCACGTCCGCGGCAAAATCAGTGAGAGACTGGATGCATCCTGTTTTTTTTTGTTGGGAGCAAGCTACAAGGCATCCTGCTGTTTGCCGTGCTGACAGCTTGTTTCACACACTACCTGAAAATGAAGGGTGCGTCGAGATTCAGTGCTGCTTTCCAGGATCATCATCGTAGAGGGTTTCATTAACTTACATGCCTACAACATCCCAAGAGACGCGGCAGCTCTGTTCTTATTTGTACCTCACGTCATACATAACCAGCTTCGCATGGCTGTTGGCGCAGACCTTGCTACACCCTGCCCTGTTTACTTCCGCTTGGATGAGACCCTCGGCAAGATTCAAGCTACCTTGAATTTGGATACAGCTTTGAACTGCAAGCTCCGGTCAGAGAGGCTGTGTTTGGTTGAGGCAAGACGCGCAGCTTCCAGAAACGCGGCCGAATGGGCTGATAATCAATGCATGCAGTGATGCAAATGTTGAAGCCGAGGAGCTTGAGGCCATATCCCCGGAAATCTTCTAGAATAAGTGAACTACTTTGCCAGATGCCGCCAGGTTCACACTACCAAGCTCGAGGATGCAAAAAGCCGTCAGCAGTTGACAGACCACTCTGTTTCGGAGCTTTTGGAGATCCTCGGCTTGCATGATCATTTGAAATCTGGTGGCTGCTGGATGCTAGATGCACAGCAGAGCAGCTCAGGAAGCTGAACAGTCTTCCAGGCGTTTCAAGGCGTAAGGCCACGGAAGCAGCGAAGGCCATGCCGGCTCGCTTGGCGGATCGTGGCAGTGCCTGGAGTGTGAAAGAAACTCTTGGCAAGGAGCGCTCAGCAGAAGAAGCGTGTGTTGGCCTCAAGCCAGAAGAGAAGTTTTCGAGCTTTCCGGTGGGAATGCCTCAAAAAGAAGAAACAAGCCCCGGGCGTCGATTTCAGAAAGCCGTCCACCAAGTGGTACAAGGAGGGGGTATAACTGGAAACTTGTGCTGCTGCAGCCTGTCGCTACGTAGGCAACCGACGAAGATCCTCGGCAAGGGCAGAGGCCACCCGGAGCCAAGTAATCAGTTGTCAATAGGTCCAGACCTCTGCTTTTCAAGGATGGCAGGGCTGAAGCCCCATGCTTCGCAGCTGTGGTCGCAGCGGCCGTGGCAGCTCAAAATGCTCAGCAAGCGGGCCAAGAATTCCACACACCCAGGGAGCGATCTCCTGCAGAAGCCGCAGATGAGACGCTCTGCAAGGGTCGTGTGCAGCCTGCAGACAACACAGACTTTCACACTCCCAGGGGCTGTACTCCTGTGGCCACTCCCCTCTGCACAGTTTCGATTTCCTCAACACCGTTGACTCCGCGCAGTGCACTCCGCAGCCCTTCGCCGTCCGCTCGAGCGGCATCTCCGGAGTGGACGCAGCGTTGCTTGACAGATCTGTGCAGATCAAAGCCTGCTCCACAATTGTCTCATTAGAAGGTTTTGGGCAAACCTAAGGTTTGACAGATTGCCGAAGCCCCTCTGTCAGGAGCTTTCCGAACTCCATAATGGCTTTTCAAAAAGGGCGGCTTGGCTTGAAGGACCCAGCGTGCCTCATCACTCAGCAGCAGCCCTGCAAATTGCTCGCTGCTCGCCGGAGACCCAAAGAAAGGAGTGGCACGACATAAAGTAGCGACATTGTAGCAGGTGTGATTATTCTTCATTTGCTAGTGCCACTGAGCTCGAGACACATCCCACTGCCTCAGCCATGCCACCTCGTGACGGTCGTGACAGTCGCGATGAGTCGGCCGAAGCAGAGATCGAAGTCTTCTCCAAGTCTCTCAATGCATGGGTACCTGGCAAGGTGTGGCTCTTTGCTTCAGCTGGGAGGATCACTGTGACGTACACAATCAAAGGCCAGAGATGTCGCAAGCACCTCCTTCCGTGGACCCAGCAGATTCGGTCCGTCGGGGAGCTGTTGGAGATGGATCCCGACAGCAGCCCTGCGCAAGAGGTGAGAGTTGTGGGTGACACGCTGCCAAGCTGGGAGCTTGAAGAAGAAGCTGATCCAGATTTTAGCTTCACGCACCTGTTTGATGCCCTCTTCTGTGAAATGCCCGTGAATGCTACTTTGAAGAATGCCATGCAGGCAGCGGCCCAAAAGCAGGAAGTCTACTGCAGCACGCGCATTCACGAGGCCTCAGCAGCCTATGCCTCCGCGCAAGTTTCTGAAGCTGAAGCTTGCTTAGCAGAGTCCGGTGAGTTCTTTGAGGACATGCAGGACCTCGACTTCCAGCGAAGCATTGTGAACTCTCTGCGTTTGGTCTCTCACATGGAAGCGTCGAGCCTGAGGATCTGGTGCGGCAGACCCATGGCACTGGACGTGGTCCAGGGTCGTGAATGCCCCAACTGTGGGCTTCTCGTGGCCATGGCTGCAATCGCTGATCATCATGATGGCTACCTGGTACGCCAGCTCTTTCCCCAATTTCAACATTGGGACGGACATGAAGATCCTCCACTGAACTCGTCAGGTTGCTACGTGGTATCCCTCTTTCTCCACACTAAGAATTCCAACTTGGAGAGGTTCAAGAAGCATCACCCAAGCCTGAAAGCAGGCCAGGACAGGATCATCCTGGACGCCACCTCAAGGTCCGAAACTCTTACCAAGGGCTCCTGGCGCAGTATCGTCATTGATGATAAGCTTCCAGTAGACAGTATGGGAAGGCTGGAGAACTGCCAGTTTTCCAGGAACAAGGTATGGCCCAGCCTTCTAGAGAAGGCTTTTGCGAAGGTCTGTGGGAGCTATGGCAAGACTGCATATGTCGGCCTCGCTGACGCCTTAGTGATGCTAACAGGTCAAAGCACTTTCCAGGTGGACCTTAGGGAGCTTTTCAACAAGGAGAAACGTCAGCTCTGGAAGGATCTGAGTGAGTACCAAAGATCTGGCATCCTAATGACGGCCGCCATTTACGATGATTCTTCGCTGCTCTTTGGGCAGGCAGACTCCATGACAGGGAATGGCTTACAGCGCAATCACGCCTACACCGTCCTAGAGACGCTGTCCATAATCTTGGACTTGACTGGTGAGGTGCTGTCCCTTGTCAAGCTCAGAGATCCCCATGGCCGGACCACGTATTCAGGGCCCTGGTGCCCACGCTGCCCACGATGGACGGCCAGCCTCAGACAGAAGATCCATGGAACCGACCGGGGTGTTTTCTGCATGACCTGGCAGGATTTCCTCGCCACCTTTGATGAAATCAACATCTGCAAAGTGGGTGACAGGAGTTAGGTATGCGCTAGAATTCAATTCTAATTTGATGCAAGCTGTTCGGCACTGTTTTGCGGGCTTGCCCTGCCAACTTCTCTCCAGATCCAAGGCGCCATGTAGAGCACAGAGAGATCCTTAGCCATGTGTTAGTTGGCACCTACCCAAGCACAATCCCAGCGTCACAAAATGGGCCTTGGAGCTAGCTGCCGGCTGTCCCACACCAGCTTGTGTGTCTCGTTGCCTAGCAGGCCTGAGAGATTGAGGGCACGATGAGGGGAGAGGCTCAACTGAACACGCAACACCAAGCCTCCACAGGTGCGCCCCAGACAAGAAGGCGACTGGCTCAGACTGGACCACAGTCCCGGTGACCTCATTTGCATCATGTTGGTTGAGGTGGGACAGAAGCCAAGCCTGAAGGAGCATGGCACGGTTGGACTTTGCAGTCCACGCCGGCAGCTAAGCCTCGAGCCTCTCGCTCTACCAAGCTCTGCAGAGCTGGCTGTGCGCAGGCCAGGTGGGCGCTATTTTCACCATCACGCTGCAACCGGGACTAGCCAGTGGGTGCCGCTCTTTGCAAACACTCGCTTGCCTGGACTCCTGTCCTGTTCACACGTTGAGGAGGTGCCACCGGAAATGGTCCCCTTTGTAGGTGAATGGCGCCAGGCAAGAGGGCAGCTGATACTGTGCGAAAAGCAGAACTTGTTGCCAGCTGTTTTGTGGCAGATGCGGTAGGTGGGAGATCCAAGCTCCGCTTACTGGCACAACGACGCTCTGGGGACAAGTTCTTGGAAAGACCCTCGGAACTGCAGCAGCATCCATGAGGCTTGGCCGCAACGTGTTGCAACGAAAGAGTCACTTTGGGTAGGCTGAAGTAGGCTGCCTTGGACGGCAACTTGGCCTACTTGATGCTCTATGCCATGGCTGGGGGCTTCATAGATGCTGTGAATGTGAAGGTGCCGTTGTGGACATAGGGGTGCGAATGAAGAGCAGCAGCTTTCCGTTTTCCGGGCCAGGGCCGGTCTGCCCTCCACAATGCTGCCGCGGCGGGGCTAGCAGCAGGCAGTTTAGTCTTGAAGAGACACAATCTGTGCCAGGCAGGGCAGAATGAGGCCAGAAATCGCGCAAACATGTCCTTCGCTGAAAATTCTGAAGCTTTCGTAAGGCTGAGCGTAGTGCAGGTTATCGTGCACCTGCTACATCAGAAGGCTAGACTCTCGTGAGCTTATTGCCTGAATGAAGCTGAGTGCAAGCACTTGAGGCCGACGTGAATTTGATGGACCAGGGTTTGTCGACGCCCCTGCATTGGGGGGCGCGATACGGTCACGAAACAGCCGTGCAGCTATTGCTGCAGGCCCATCAAAAATTCAGCAGTGTCAGAAGCTGATTTGATGACGTTTTGGATTCGTGTCTGCTCAGCGCATGCAGGCTGGTGCAAATGTGGATGGCAGCAATATGCCCGCTACTGAGACGCGGATTCGCAGTAGTGGAGGACAGTTCGGTACTGAAAGCCTAGTAAGCTGCACTTCGGGCACATGCATCCCGTCTTAAAGCCTCAGGTTGGGGGACACGCCTTTGCATGAGGCTTCTGGTTTGGGCCAGGCTCCACTGCTGCCATGAGGTGGGATCAGTCAGGCTTGAGCTGCCCGTCAGATGAAGATCTTGCCCATCTTGATGGCAGCGTGTGCCAACCCTCTGGTCCGGAATGCAGAGTGCCAAGCTCAGCTGGCATGGCTCGCTTTCCGCTTGTAAGGCCTGTTCTTTTCGTTCCGGAGGCAGCGGACAGCAGCAGAAGTGGCAGGCGTTCGTGGCTGGGCGGAGGCAGCGGCAGTGCTGCAAGGTGCTGAGTGTGATGTGGTAGGAAGGAACTTGCGTGTCAGGCTCGCGATCTGTCCGGAGGCTCAGTCAGCACTAGAAGAGATGCAAGCTGATGTAAGCATTTGTGTTTGTGTTCACAGTTTCAATGTCCTGCCAAGGCTTGTGGGCTACGAGCAGAACTGGGCTGATCATGAAGACCTCGCAGAGGCTGAGCGTCTGAGTCACGGCCTTGGACAGCTCGAGCCGTACCCCAATCGCTAAGGATTACCATTCCAGGCGCCATGGTGGTGTCTTCAGCACAGTATTCCTGCCCAGAGTTCTGTGGAGGGCATGTGGCAATTTCACGGGTGATCTGTGCAGATGTTACGGAGGTTGTTCGACCGTGGTCATGTTTTGGCTCAACCTACGAGGGGAACTGCCTGGGCTTGAGTACTCCGCAATGCCAATCGTAAGGATCCCAGATGTGCGCTAGCTGCAAGCTTTGAGTCCAGCTTTCAGCGAGTCTTGGACAGCAACATGAGGTTGGATTCGGCCGGCGTGGAATACAGGATGATGGAGTACGGCGTTCTCTCAGGTGGAGGATGGCTGGGACGAAGTCAGAGGGATGGGTTTGGTGGGGAGCGTTTGATGTACCACACCCACCCATTCTAGGATTCTGATGATCTCGCCTGCTACCCAGTACCAGCAGTGGATCAGCAGAGCTGGATGGTAGTTCTTAGGGGTCAAGGGATTCGGGCTCAGGATGTGCACGGGCCTTCTGGCCGCTACCTGTTTCCTCCTGGGTTCGCTCTTTGGGTCGGCAGTCGAAGAAACAAGATGGACCCCAGAAGTGCTGGACTTTACGATGCGCGGGTGCAGTTGAGAGTATTTGAGATTGAATGGTGTTGACGCTGTGCAGCATGAGGGTTATCTCGCCAAGGAATTTCCTTGGTATCCTCGTGCTGCAACTTGACCGCAAAGTCGTTCTTTCCTTCTCGCGCTGTCAGTCAAATGCCTACACGAAGCAAAGGTTCATCGGCATGGCAGGAGCTGGGTGCGTAACCCTGAGACTCACATCTTCGGAGGCGGGCTCGCCAAGATTTTCAGACATCATGTCCAGCTTGGCCTGCCATCAAGCTGACTGTGGGGACCTTTTGCATTGATGGCTCGCAGGACAAGGCGCCAGCAGATGCTGAACAGTTTCGCGTTTGGGCAAGTATGCCCTTTTGTGCTTTGACTGCACGCAAGCCTCACCATACATAACCATGTTCAATGGCTAACCAAATTTAGGGAGGCTGGTTGCAATGCTTCTGGGATGTGTGATCATCACTTCTTTCTGGCTTACGACCATATTTGTCAGTCTAGGGATGGAGGTAGGCCGAGGGGATACACAAAGCAATGGCTTTGCCAGCAGTTGCACATTCGAGTGAGGCTGACTTGCCTACCTCTCGCCTAAACGCTAAATGTAAACGCCAGCACGTCTCCGCTTTTGCCGCTGCCTCGGGCCTCTTTGCAGTTGGTGGCGCTCGAGGATCCTTGTACCACATCAACAAAAATGATATGTGCATGAATATGTTACATACGTCCCCGCCGCTACAGGCCCCTATTTCAAAAGCAAGAGGCTACATTGCGGTTACATGTCCTCAACTCGCTTGTGGCAAGAAGTGTGAGTTGTGTCCAGGTTTTGCAAATGGGGAGCTCCATGCCCGCCAACCTTGCTGCTTTCTGCCAGTTTTTCAGCAACACATGCTAGGGAAAGCTTGTCCAACACTTTGCAAGAAGGTGCCTGTTCTCATCTTCGTCCATGTTTTTTACACAGGGTGGGCTGCGCCCCTCAACCCCGCTCCCTCCCACTGTTCTTAACAGCAAGCACATGGACTGCAAAATCCTATCAAAACTTTAAGAAGCTGCACGTTTTAGCAAATGCGCATTTGTGCATAGGGGGTCTCAACTCAATATGTTTCAAGGCAGGATACAGCGCAGAAGAATCCTCCTCAGGTACACCATCTGAGCCTTCAATGTCCTGTGTGCTTCCGAGAAGGATCCAACTTCGGAACTAGGTCGGAAACACCAAAATTATAAACAGGTTTTTCTCGGAGTGCCTCTTTTTTTTGTGGCCCTGGCCTGGAACATGTTCGAATTTCGGCTGTTCCATCATTTCCATCATTTTTCATCATTCTCCACTCATTTTCCTAATATGTCTTCATTTGTTTATCATTGTCTATCATTTTCTTTCATTTTCATCATGTTTATATCATTTTCATAGGTTCTTATTTCATTTCCCCAATTTTTATTTTACACATTTTTTCTAGGTTGTTCATCATGTTCATCGTTTCCATATCACTTGACTTGTGCCTTCTTTCTGTTGGCTGCTTGGGTTTTTGGCTTCTTGGCTTTTTTCTTGGCTTTTTGGCTTTGTGGCTTCTTGGCTTTCTGGCCCCTTCGATCTCTGGCTCTGTGGTCTTTCTGTAGCAGTAGTAGTAGTGGTGGCAGCAGTGGTAGTAGTAGTAGTAGTAGATGATCAGTAAGGGAAGGTTACACAGATCATTTTGTGTGCAAGAAGCAAGGGGCGCTGCGCCCCCGCCAACCCCCTCCCCGCCTTTGTTACGGCCATCCACGCCTGCCAGTGTCATCGCTTTAAATCATCTCCGTACTTTCCATGATCCCGACCCCCCCCCCCTCCCTCCCGCATTTTTTTGTGAGGCCATCCAAGCTTGCTGCAATTATTCGGATCATTTTGTTTGCAAATCGGGGTTAATACCATCCCTGCTTCATGTTCTTATGGTCTTCATACTTTCCCACCAACATCAGGCTTCATACTTTTTTATCGTGTTCATTGTTTTTTTCCATCATTTTCATCCTCATCCTTTTTCATCATTTTCATTTTTGATTTTTTTCATTATTTTTCATAGTTTCCATTGCATTTCTTCATCATTTTCTACCAATTTCATTATTGTTCATTATGTTTCATCACTTGTCATCATTGTTCATCAGTTCTCATTATCACTTTCTTGATTTCTCATCATTTCTCATCATTTTCATTGTTTGCTCATTTTCTATGAGTTGTCGTGATTTTTCACAAAATATCCTCATTTGTTGATCAGCTTCCTAATTTCCATCATTTTGTAGAATTTGTCTATCATCTCATCATTTTTACATCATTTTCTTTCATTTTCCATGATTTTGCGTGATTTTTCATCAGTCCTCACAGTTTTTGCCTCAGAATCGCGCTCTCGTGTGAGGCATCATCCTTCGATTGGGGGCCCCCAGCCAAAGAAAGACAAAAAGCGGCAAAAAGTATCAAAGAATAAAAGTGACAAAAAGCGATTCCGCACATTTTTTACCGCAGCTTCCTCGAAACAGCTTTGCTCACGTTGGAGCTCTCGGAGTTTTGGATTGGGCTTTTTCCTGTTTTCTGTTCCTTGCGACTGGTGTTGATGTCTACGCCTTGAACTTATTCACACCGCGGTTTTACATTCAAAATCAAGTAACAAGCTGCATGTTCCCAATGGTCGTACATGTTTTCTAAGCGGGGGGCTGCCCCGCAGCCTCTACCAAGTAGCAGCAATTATCGCAATGCACATGGCTTTGGTAACGATTCTGAGTGCGCCGGCCACTTCTCTTACTCTTACATTCGCTGGTACTCTTTTTCTCGCTCTTACCCCAACTCCTCTTCTTGCTGTTATGGATGTTCTGCTGGTTGGTTGTTGCTCCTACTTATTCTAAGAATCTCACATGCGGGCCTCACGTTTTGAGTCAAGTTCACGTGTAGAGCATTTTCGCTCGCAAGGTAGCTCTTACATAGGGCATCCTCACATTCCAGCGAAAGTCGAGCTCTGACGTGGCGAGTCCATTGTTTTCTTAGGCATTCCCAACGAAACAACAAACACAAAAAAGATAAATACCTAAATTCATCCCTTTAAATTTGTGTTGGCAAGCAACAAACTGACCCGGCAAACTGGCTCCCATCATGCAAAACTCCTATTCAACCCTGCCATTTTCATCAGGATGGATGCAGGCTCCAAAGTGTGGTGAAACTGAGGTCATAAGCAACTGGGTTCGCCCCAGATTTCGTCTGGGATGCAAACTAGAGAGGCTGTAGCTTCAGAGGGTTGGACACTAAGAGCCCCCGCGCCATGTGTCTGGTAGAGACTGCAAAATGCGCCAGCCTTCACGACAAGAGCCCATTGCCTTTTTGCCCACGTAGGCAGGAAAGCACGATGGCCATCGGATGTGTGTCTTGCACGGGTGGAAGCTTGCGAGGTGCCATAACAATGGGGGCTATGCCGCCTGCGTTTCAGAGCTATTCTGTACGTGCAGACGGCCATTTTGCGCCCCGGCTTAATACCCCGAGCAGTGCTTGCTGTGAAAGGCTATTGAATTCGTGTGCTGTGACATGCGGTAGCCAAAATTGAGGACTGGCATGCGCCTGCAGTCATCAAGCAGAAGGACTGAAGAGATGCCTTGGCTTTGTGGCTTTGTCAGCTAAGAGATGTGGGGACTTCCCTGAGCTTTCTGGGGCAGAGCGCGGGCCTGTGTTTGGGAGCCTTGTGCTTGCCAGGCTCCGCAAGCGATTAAGCATTCTCACCTCTGCCGTCTGCCGTTGTCATTGCAAAGTTCAAAGTCCCCCTCTTAAACCCATGTAAGCTCCAACTACGTTTTCCACCATTCTCCTTGGTTGAGTGCCAGGAGCACGGCCAGATGACGTGCCCTTGCCAGGAAACTGTTCACTGTCCATGCTGCCTTGCCGAGTCTTTGGCAACAGAAACAGTTTGTCGCAGCGCTTTGTGCAGCCGCTTCAAAAGTCGGAGAGGCCTGCCAGCTCTTGCTTGCAACCTTGAGCCCTAAGGAGTTCGAAGGCACAGATATTGTGCCTTGCAAGCACTTATGGCTAGCATGCCGTCTTCGGATGTGGAGTCACTGCATTTGTGTTCGCGTTTTGTCGCTTCGTGTGGAAGGGGTGGTCATTCAGAACAAGTGACATTGACAGAACCGTGTGGCACGGTGCTCTAGCTCCGGCACAAACATATCTGGATTGGAGCGTTTGGAGCTCAAATTGGGTCCGAAGGGCTCTTCCTGTTCGCCTGTCAGGTGGCGGTGCTGCCGTTCCGCGCTTAGTACTGGGGATAGGATGGCCCTTCGCAGAGGCAACGCAGGACATCAGTTTGTGATATTAGTGCAGGTGTTTCTATGGCTTTCCTGCGAGTGCCTCTGAAAGGTGCGGCCACTTTTTCTGTGAGCCTTGCATCGCCGCGTGGGGTGCATCGAGTTCCAGCCAAGCGCCGGGGACCCGTGCTCAAGGCGCAAGTTGTTCACTTTGCGGAAAGCCTGCCTGCAAGGACCAATTGCCCATTATGCCGATTATCCTTCGAACACAAGATTGAGGGTAAAATGCAGGAACCCTGACTGCCTTCGGCAAAGTCAGGACTTTGAGTGATAATTCGTTGGTCCGTGCTTGCACAATGCTGGCTATGCAGTTGGGCAACCGGCCTGACGGCTACAGATAGACATGCCCTGCCATGTAAGGGCGCTCAATCTGTTATTAGTTAGAATTGCATTTGTGTCCTGGAGCCCTTGCATGTTCCCTGCCTTGTTGTTTTTGACGGTTTTACAGCAGGGGATTGCTTATCCAACATTCCGCCCAAGTGCGGTTTGAGGTGAAGTCAGTTCCCTGAAGCACGATGCCCAGCTTTAGGGATGTGTTGACCGTAAAGCAGTCTAAAGCTCAATCTAGCAGGAGCCTGAAACTTGAAGGCATCCGTAGGCATCAGCTGTCAGCGAACTGGCGTGGATACAGAGAATACCTGATGATTGTTTGAACAGCATCACTTGCAATGCGGTGTTGACGTTTGCTCGCTGCTTTGAATGCCGTTTCCATGAGTTCCCGTGAGGCCAACGCTTTCGGTTGCAGGGTTGGGAAATGTATGATGGCCTACAGGCAGACGGCATCCCCTGCCCAGAAGCAGCGGAAGAGAATTCATAATTTGTGACATTGCCATGCAATGTGGCAGCTGGAACGGTGTCGGAAGGTTCTGTTCCACTTTTGGAACAGCCCCATGCTTCGAATGCGGTGCTGTTATTTTGTCGCTTGGCAGAAGCAGAGGTCAGGCGTTTCTGCATGCGGGAGCAGGAGCTCGAGAAGTATTGTTGTTTCTTCTTTCCATCCCCAGTGGCTGGTAGAAGAATTCTTTCGTGCCCAGTGGTGGCGCTGTGAAAAAGTTGGGAGAG